GGTGCGCCCACATGTGGTGGTAGGATCCACTTCGAGGTTTTTGAGATTGGTAGCGGAGCCCTGAATAGCAGGGCTCCGGGTAGATAGGACTCTACTCCGGATCATTCGGCATGAGCGCGGCTGCTAGTACTTCAGACTCCACTGGTCTTCGATCGTTCAGTGGAGATTCAGAAGATGCCAAAGAATACAAGCGATGGAAGGTGTGGGTGAGCAACAAACTGCTCACCATTGCTGACAAGGTTCCTGAACACGCCCGTGGCGCCTACGTGTACACCCTTTTGTCTGGCAAAGCATTGGAGTGTGTAGAGCACCTTGACCCCAGCAGTTATCAGAAGAAGGATGGCGAGAAGATCATCTTCGAACGCCTGGACCAGCGTTTTCCTCAGAAAGACGCTTCCGACGAGATGTCGGAAGTTTTGACTGAAGTGTTTGCAGTCAAATCCCATGAGGGAGAATCTCTGAAGGCCTGGATTTCTCGAGCAACTGAACTGTTTGATCGATGTCAACGCAAGGTCAACGTCAACTTCCCTGAGGAAGCTCGCGGTTGGATGATCCTACATCGATCTGGTTTGAGCGATGAGCAAAAGGCAGTTGTCCTCGCTCGGTCGTTGGGAGTGTTGAAGAGGGAAGAGATCGGTCGTGCCATGCGCTCTTGTTACCCCGACTTCGTTGTTGGCAAGAGACGCGCTGCAGGAATTTCACTGGTCGAGGATTCCCTACCTCCTGAGGACGACATCGCTGCTGATGAAGAGTTCGACGAACTTGAACAGTTCTTAGCAGAGCATCAGGTCGCCTCCGAAGAATCTGATGAGTTGTTCGATGAACCTGATGTAGCCGAGGCCCTAGCTGTGTCTTGGAAGGAGAGGAGAAAAGAGATGGGTCAACTCCAACGTGCCCGCCGTTTCAAGCAAGCTCAAGATGTTCGTCGCTCCTTCAAAGTCGAGATTGAGGAGTTGAAGCGTCGCACCAAATGCAACAAGTGCGGCGCCGTCGGACATTGGGCTCGTGAGTGCAAGTCAGGCAAGGGTGCTTGGAACAAGTCAGCATCCTCAAAAGGGTCGTCCAAGGGCAAGGAATCAGCTGCAGCCATGGTAGTTGAAGAACACTTCATCGCCATGATCGACATCCTGCCGTCCTCTTGGCGATCCTTGCAGTGGTTGAGAGAGAAGCAACAGAAATGTTCACCTACTGCTGAAGAGCAGCTGCTTGTGAGTTCACCTGGGTTCGGAGTTTTGGACTCCGGTTGTGGCCGCTCCATCATTGGTTGGGACACATTGCAAGAGTTCAAAGACTTGTGGAAAGCCCGCCAGATGGAGATCCCAGAGCCTTTTTCTGAGGTGAATCACTTCAAGTATGGTAACGGCCACAAAGAGATGTCCAAACAGGCCATTCGTGTGCCCGTCCATCTCGGTGGCAGGGTAGGAACCATCAAGGCAGCCATTGTGCAGGGCCAGGCGCCCCTGTTGATCTCAGTGCACTCAAAACCCTGAAAGCCACCATCAACTTCGAGACGAATGAACTGACTGTTTTCGATGATCGTGTAGTCATTCCTTTGGCCACCAATCAAGCTGGCCAATACACCGTTGATTTGCTTGGCAATCCTGAAGGCTCCAACAGTGCCTTCGAAGAAATCATGATGACCACCGCCATCGATCAGGTCAGTGCACCAACCCTCGACGTGTCGGGTAGTGAACCGCCGGCCATGTCGTCCATCGAGCTCAACAACGAGAAGCTGATGGCTCCAGATGCAGGTTCTCCGAATTCCGAAACAGCATCGTGGAGTAGGGTAGATATGTATGCCACTCATGTTCCTTCGCTAGGTAAGCAGGGTCCCAGATGGACGACAGTCAAACATAGAATTGTGACCGACCTTGATTCTCATGAGGTGCTTTTCGACGCGTCAATTGATCCCAGTAAAGGTAAGGCCAAGTATCGTCATGCACTCCCTCCACATGTACTCCGATGTCAAACCGAATTTCTGTACACGCCACAGGAAGAGTGTCTGGTCTTGGAGAGCCTGCCCAAGCATCATCTTCGGCAGTTGGAGGCCATTGTTCGGGAGACGCCTGCCGTACAGCCCCATGACAAGTCCCAACAGTCTCATGATCATGGTAGGACACTTCTAGTTGCCGAAGTCTTTTCACCGCCTCGATTTAGTCCGGTGGTGGAACAAATGGGCTTCGCGAGTCGTTCATACGATTTGCTCAACGGGTATGATTTTCGACGTGCCGCCGACAGGTCAGCTGTGAAGCAAGAACTGAGTGAGAGACCCCCCAAATTGCTTGTTCTCTGTCCGCCTTGCACGGACGAAGGCGGTTGGTTCAACCTGAACAGCGTGTACATGACACCAGCCGAACGTGCAAGACGCATCGCTCAGAGTCGCATGTACATCCGCTTTTGCTGCCAACTGTTTGAGCAACAAGTGAAGTTAGGTGGTAGAGTGCTTTTGGAACACCCTCAGGGTTCAAAACTGTGGACATATCCAGAAGTCCAGGCTTTGAGTCAAGAACACCACCTGATTCTTTGTCACATGTGTAGGTATGGTCTCAGACTACCTGGTTCTGACAAGCTCCTCAAAAAGGTTACCCACTTGTTGGTCAGTCACGAGGACATGAAGATTTTGGCCAAAGAATGTCCGGGTCAGCAACATCCTAAGCATGCATGTCATCAGCACATTGCCGGATCTGTTCCTGGTGTGGGTCAAGTAAGTACGTTTGCTGGACAATACACTCATCAGTTTGTAGATGCCGTGTTGTCGACCATCCCAATGTTCAGGAAGCAGGAGGCAGCAAGCTGTGCAGCATGTCCATCATGCCCAGAGCAGAAATGTCAAGAGGTCTTGATGGCCAAAGCCGATCTAGGTAGCGATGTTCCCGATGACCAAATCAAGAAGGTCCTCGATCGGTTGCACAGGAATCTTGGTCATCCACCTGTGCACGACTTGATTCGCCTGCTGAAACATGCTCAGGCCAGCCAGAAGGCAATTGACCTTGCTCGCAAATTCGACTGTGATCTGTGCAAGAGTCAGATTCGTCCACATGTGCCATTGCCAGCCAAGACCAATCGAGTGTCGGGTTTTAACCAGGTAGTAGGTCTCGATGTCAAGAACCTTCCAGGTTGGACCTCAAACCAGAAAATCAAGGCACTAAATATTGTTTGCCATGGTAGTTGCTATCAACTGATGATCCCATTCTTCCAAGCCGAGACCTCGGAACTTCTTCGAAGATTGTTCACCGATCATTGGATTCGCATTTTCGGTCCCCCGAAGGTAGTGGTTCTTGATCAGGCCAGAACTAACATGGGAGAGGCACTCCAAAACCATCTCGATTTGCAAGGCACCGAAGTGCGACAGATCGCAGGCGAAGCACACTGGCAACTAGGTAGAACAGAAGTTCATGGAGGTTGGTTCGCCCGCATTCTCACCAAGATCATTGCTGAACACACACCCGAAACTCAAAAGGCTTGGGAAGAGTGTGTTACACATGCACATGTCAAGAACCAGATGATTCAGAACTATGGCTACACTCCCCATCAACACGTGTTCGGTCAGAATCCCCGCATTCCTTCCGACTTGTTGGACGAACCACTTCATGTCGTGCCAGCCACCGCAAGCCTCAATGAAGCCAGTCTGGCACAATCACAGGCCATTCGACTGTCTGCCCGCAAAGCGGTCATCGAAATGCAGGATAGTATGTCGCTTCGTAGAGCCTTGGCGGCCCGGCCACGCCTGCACCAAGTCTTTGAGCCAGGATCCATGGTTGCGTACTGGAGACATCAGAAGTTCCAACAAGGTCAGGGGGTAGTTTTGGGGGGAAAGTGGTATGGTACCGCCATAGTTATCGGTCAAGTTGGTCGAAACTATGTGATCGCTCATCGCAAGCATATCTTTCGCTGTGCACCCGAACAACTGCGTCCAGCCACGTCAGAAGAGAGTATCTTGGTCAAGACGTCCCAATCTGAGCTGTTAGGAATCAAAGATCTCATCCAAGGGGGTACCCTGTAGTGCCTGGGTCCGTTGAGCAGCCTGGTAATGAGTCTGACCAATTGCCTCTTCATCCCCCAAGTACTGACGAGGGAGCTCCAAGTCCTCCTGAAAACCCACTGATAGGCAAGAAGACCGATGGAGAAAAGTCCATTGAAGAGAACTCAACATCTGGATCCGACTTGAAGACTGCCTCGAGTTATGGCCCCGTTCGCTCTCGATCGCGAGTGGCCATGAAAAGTGGACCAGCAGCACTCTTTCGACCAAGACCTATGCTGCAAGATGACTTTGTGGATCTCATGACTGAAGTTGTCCCCAGACTCATCACTGAGCATATAGATAAATCAACAGCAGTGAATTGGGAACCAGATCCTGACAGCATGCAAGACGTGTCCAGTGGTCCCAGCAGCGGTAGTGGTCTTAAGAGGTCTGCCGATTCGCAAGTGGCAACTGAAGAGCCACCAGCTGTGCGTCCCAAGACTGATGATGCACAAGAGTCGCTAACCTCACAGTTGCCACATGAAATCAAGTCAGTGCAAGAATGTCAACAACTGATGCAAATTTGGGATCAGACCCAAGACGTTGAAATCTTGATCGCAGCATATCTTCAGAAGAAGACATCTAAAGAAGTGCCTGCTGTGGGAAATGAACCTCTTGTGCAGCAAATGGTGGACGAATCCAAGCTGGTAGAATGGTCCACATTGATAGAAAAAGGGGCTATTCGGGTTCATACAGGTAAGAAGGCAGCATATCTAAGAAGCAAATATCCAGAACGGTTCATGGGTAGCAGGTTTGTCATTGTGAGAAAACCATTAGAAGAAAACCTGCATATCGATATTCAGGATCCCTCCACGTTCCGCATCAAAAGCAGGTGGTGCTTGCAAGGTCACTTAGACCCAGATCTCGACCAAAAATTGGATGAGGGACTGAGGGACTCCTCCAGAGCCCCACACTCAGTCAGATTGGACGTATGATACTCATGCAAGTCATATGTTCACATGGTTGGGATTTGCAGTTAGGCGATATAAGAGGCGCCTTCCTAGAGGCCGGTCCACTTCCAGAGAGATTTCGGCCACTGTTTGCAAAGCAGCCTCAAGGGGGCATCCCTGGAGTCGAGGCAGACGCTGTCTTGGAGATGGTTTGGGAATGTCTACGGACAGAACGACGCTCCGTCCGCATGGCACAGGGCTTTCGACCAAGCCGCCACCAGCATTGGTTGGGAAAAGTCCACCTTCGACTCCTGTCTCTATTTTCTTCGTGACCACTATGGTTTAACCGGTATCATGGGTGTTCACGTTGACGATACAGCAATAGGTGGAACTGGACCCCTTTTCGAAAAGGCAGTGCATCAACTCAAGGAACGATTCCCATACCGGAAATGGCGGGTTCAGTCAGGAGAGTTTTGTGGAGCCTTTTACACACAAGATCCTAAAACCAAAAGCATATCAATGTCGCAACAGACCTTTGCTGAAGGGATTAGACCGGCCCACATTCCGAAGGGAGCAAACAATGAACAACCCTTGAACGAGCAACAGACCAGGGTTCTTCGGGCGATAAATGGAAGTCTCAACTGGATTTCTACTCAATCACGACCTGATGCTTCGGTTCAGACCAGTCTTAGTCAACAATGCTTCCCTAGGCCGACCATCAAGAATCTGAGAGAAGCAAATAATGCTGTTCGTAGAATCAAGCAACATAAGGATTTGAAGATCCGCTTCCATCCGATTGATCCAGCACGACTCCGAATCTGTTGTCATTCTGATGCAGCGTTTGCGAATGTTGGAACTCACACCCAGGCTGGGTACGTCCTGTCCTTTGTAGATAAAGACTTGAATGAAGGAAAGATTTCTCATTGGACTCCGATTGTTTGGCGTAGTTACAAGCTGCCAAGAGCCGTGAGCTCCACACTCGCTGGAGAGAGTCAAGCTCTGTCCACCGCGTCAGGCACGGTTGAATGGATGAGTCTGATTTTGAGCGAAGCCCTGGATGGCAGTTTTGAGCCAAGGCAATTCCTGGAAAGACTTCAAGCTCGATCACCGATTCTCACAACAGATTGCAAATCGTTGTATGACCACTTGATTTCACCCTCATCACCGACTGCAGTAGAAGATCGAAGAACCAGCATCGACATTGTTATCATCAGAGAATCCATTCGTAGACTCAAAGCCTCCATGAGATGGCTTCCCACGAATCGCATGCTTGCCGACGCCCTCACTAAGGATAAACTAGATCCTGTAGATCTCCTAAGGGCTTGCATGAGAAGTGGAACATACCAAATCTCACCTGAGGAACATGTTTTGGCTCAACAAGCTGCTGAGAGGGAACTTCGGATGCAGAGACGTCAACTGGCATCCAATCATTCCCCTGGCAAAAATGCAGAGCCAACGTGCGATCCCATAATTCACTCAGAACCATAAGATAGATCAGCTATGCTTGAAAGGCTTTAACATCTTGAATAGTGAAAGATAAGATAGTCATATTCGGGAGAGTATCTTGTGGGAGCACTATGCGGTGCGAGTCTTCAGTGCATATGTTGTTTTTGTGAAATGTTGGTTAAGCAGTGCCGTGCATGTTTTTCACTCGTTAATGCCTCCGCAGCCTTTTGAAGTGAGCACGAATTGTTTTCGAGTCAGCCGACCAAGATCTAAAATGGCTTGGACCTCTGATGATGCCGCCAAGCTGCAAGAGCTGCTCCAGAAAGCAGCTGCCAACGGTGTGCATCCTCTTGCTGCTCTCGAGAAGACCGGCCGTCACTTTCAGGACGATGGTTTTGAACTGGTGACCACTGGTGGCATGTCAAACGCCACCAAGCGTCTGGGAGATGACCAAATGCCCGTGGCAAAGAAGCCAAACCAAAAGAGCTCGACCATGCCTCTGCAGACCGACGGCTCTATGGGATACTATGTCAAGGAAATGATGCCTGTGCCACTCCCCAGCTCATCGCTGGATCCGGCTCCGACCTACCTGCCAGCTGGAGTGAAGAGTTTGACGCAGTGGAGCCAGTCGATCATTGGTTTTGGCAAGTTCAAAGGCAAGGGAATGAGCTATGCTGACTTGATCAATGCCAGCGCGGAAGAGACCAAGGGATACATCAAATGGTGCAAGTCCCGGCAGTCCAGTGCTGGTGGTGAGTTGGCTGACTTGGCCAATTTTCTAGTTCAGCATGAAGCCGAGCAGTGCAAGTCGGATAGTTCACTCGGTGAGGTCATCGCTGGCACCAGCACGCGAAGGGTCTTCAAGTCGTGAATCACGATTGGATCCTCGATAGGCTGCCTAGATTCGAGCACTGCATGAAAGATGCTTCGTCGATTTTCTAAAGAAGATTATAAGCAGTGTTGATTTGCATTCGGCATGAGCACCAGCCCACTTGCCGGCCGTCGAGGGAACACCTTTAGGCACGAGTTCCGCAGGATGGAAAATAGGTGCGCCCACATGTGGTGGTAGGATCCACTTCGAGGTTTTTGAGATATATATATATATATATAGGCTTTGTCCCAGTTTCAGAACGGTTTCGTATACCAAACCTCAGAAGAGTCGCTCCCTGTTTCCACAAGAGTCGCTCCATGTCTCACACATCAGATTTTACCGGCACCCCATCCCTGGATCACCCCGCAGGGTTCCCTCTCAGACTCTTTGAGCGGTGGCTTTTTGGGAGTCTCAAGAAGGGGATCCGGCGTTTCCTTTTGTGAGTTTACTGTCATGAGTGGGCTTGCAACACCATTTACAACCCAGAAACTCAACATACAAGAGTCGTCACCCCAAACAAATTAGGGACCTTCACCCCAAAAAGAACTCGATTTTCAGAAAGGAGTTCCTTTTCGCGAAGAAACGTCCCGCAAATAGACGTCGGTCCCGAAACGAGTCGACGAGTGTGTTGACCTCGCGTTTCCACCGCAGCTCCTGCAGCCACAGGCAGATTGGTCCATAGATCGCCGCACCGCCGAAGACGGCCTCAACGCCACGTGGGCGCGGCAGCAGAGAGGTTTTGTGTGAAACCGTGCGGCAAGGATGTGTTCCGCAAATTCTCAAATGTAGAATCTTGTGGGCATGTCCAACGCAAGGCATTTGAACGGGATATAAACATGCATATAATGTTGTTGTTGCGGGCTCATTTTCAGCAAGTGTTATGAAGAAATGTGAGGATAAATTGTTGCCTTCATTTACACGTTGACAGGGAAGGACATAGAAATTAGCAGGGAACCCCTCTCTGTTTTGAGAAATGTACCCCGCAGATTGTCTCCAATCCCACTAGTGCAGAGAAAGCCACGCCCACGGTGGGCAAAACCACTCGGAGAACTGTTTGAGCCGTCAAGGCGTCATCAAAACCTGGGCGATGGAGCTTCCCTAGCTGCCGACTTATCAATCCCCAATTATTAACCCCAGCCACAAGGCCCCAGACACGCAAACACGCACTCAACACACTGGTATTCTATGCACCGTCCATCCGGATTGGCACGACTTAGCATTTATTCCAGATAGTACTAGTACGCACAACGCTTGTGCGTCCGTCTATAGGGACATTTGCACCACCGTACACCGTAACAGTATGGAATTCTGGCTGCCCTGGCACTGGGGGCTCACAGCCTACAAAGGAAAGACACATAGACATTATAGCACGCACTGCCGAAGCTCTAGCGCAGCCCAACCCTGGGTCAATCAAATTGCCTGGGCGCTAGCGGGGGTGTAAAGAAATGCAGGTGCTCCACGCTGATATTCCACCATCACGCACAACTTCGCTGGCATGCTTTTGTGTGATGGCCAAGTTGCCCCTGCTCTAAACTCCAAAGAGGCCCATGGTTCCAGGGCGTTCACAAAATGCGTACCACTTCCCCTGAAGAAGCCTAAGTGAAAAAGTTGCCTGAGTAAAACAGGTGTCATGTAAAGTGGTCTGACCACCTCAAGGTCTCAAGATCACCTCCAAAGTTCAAGTTCCACAGTACGTGCTCCACAGTGCACGGGTCGACGAGCGACCGACGACACGAGGAAAAGTCTGCAGACCTGTCTCCACTTCACCAGCCTGAAGCCTAGAGGAGGATGTGACTAGGAACACCTACAAAAAAGAGCAGGTATGTCACGGTGATCAGCCGTGATATCAGTATGTACTGTGGCCGCTTCGTTGGACCATCGCGCACAGTACATGGATGGTCCCCCTGCAGTATGAGTAAGAAACCGAACCCAAAGGTAACCTCTAAAGCCAAGGTGTACACACACAATTGCGAACATCAAACCTGGGCAAACCTCTTTGGAGAATTGGCTTCATCAAGCTTGACAAACACATCGAACGATGAATCCATCAAGCTTCACGCCACGCGCGCGCCGCATGAAAAGCCCTGCACAGCTTCGTCGCTTGACCGAGTCAGACCAAAACCGGGGCCCCGGGCGAAAACCGTCACTTCCTAGGCTGTCTTGTTTTGAGACGAAAGACCAACAAATGAGTCATGTGCCGGATTCCCTGGTCCCGGTGCGATACCCACCATTTGGTGCACCAAACTCTCAAAACAACCTTGAACATCCTTGAACCTTGATCATGCATTGGAAACCGTGGAAAAATCCTTTTCGTGGGGGCCTCCAACCGATCAAACCAGCTGTTGCTGTTTTCTTCATTCGCCTTTCCTCTGTGTTTCAGCAGGCACCATATAGGCTGAAGATCTCAATTGGAATTAAGTGGGTACATCGGGAGTAACGATTTTATAGTGCTAAAATGCTGGGACCAACTACTCCCTCAAAAAATGGTAACGTGTTAACTTGTTGACTCTATACAATCAAGATGCATATTGGGAAAGAGTCTAGAAACAAGGCGTCAGCTCTATAGAATAGGGTCAGCCTGTAAAAAGCTGTGAATATGGAAGAATATTGAAGATCTTCCTCTTTAAAATGCTGGTCCGGAAATACTGTGGAACAGGTGTTGTTTTTTGTTTAAGGAGCAAGAAAAATTGTCTCTATAGAATCAAGGTATAGGGTATTGGAGCCGAACATGTCAAGGAAGGCATTGGCTCACCTGTTGGAAGGACCCCAAATTTATAGTGATTATTGTAGTGAAGACAAAGGTCCTCATGGACAGCTAAGGGACTGTGATTTTATAGTGTCCAAATGTTGTCCCCAAGTCATCCACCTCCCCCTTCCCCAAGTCATCCACTTCCCCCCTCCTCTATAAAATTGTTGTCCCTGACATGCAAAATAGTGCTAACATCTCTCTATAGAATCAGCATGTTTGAGGTACCAAGATCCATCTCACCATCACTACAACATCTCTATAGAATCGAGCTCGTACAGCACCTTCAACTTCTATAATAAAATCGAGAAACTTCAAGGTTTGCTGCTTACAAGCCTCCTTCTGAACCAAGAAAAGCCTGTTAGAAAAATCGCTTTTCAGGGTACCCAACCACCATGATTGTGTAGAGGATATTCCAATCCCTATGGCTGAAGGTTGTTTGCCATAGCTGATCCACCCGCGCCACAACTGCACAATGACATGCTTGCCATTTGGGTGGACTCAATTAGGTCTCCCGGTCTCCAAGTCCGAGAGAAGTGTCTGAGCTGTCCCAGTGGACCAACAGGCAAACAGGCGCATGACGGCGCATGGATCCTCTCGCTCACTGGGCTTTTGGAGTTGTTTGAACAGTTTTCGCGACGCCCTGTTCAGATGTTCAGCAGCCTTTCCCAAAAGCCACGGCTAAGCCGACAGCATCACACCTGGACCCTCACCCCCCCACGTTCCCACGTCGCGCGGTTGCTCCTCGAGCGTCGTGTGGGCACTTTCCTCGATCGCCTTCGATCCGCATCGGGCACCATGGCCGTCGCCCAGCCGAGCCCCACGGGGCCTTCCGGCCCCCAATCAGCTGCCCAGGTGCCTGGCCGAGCGGGTTCAGGTGGTGCCGGGTTCGGTGGGGGAAGGATGGCACCGACCCGTTTGGCCTGTCCGGAGGACTCATCCGACCCTGTCCGGAGGACGCGTCACATAGGCTAGGCAGCCGGCCACCCCGATGGTGTCTGAGAAGGCCTGCACTTGGTGTATTCTTGACGCAAGGGGGACATAGGAATTCTTCCACCTCTGGCCAACTCCCAAACAGACACCTCTTTCAGCTGCATAGCCTAACTTGATCCAACCTTTTGCTCCTTTCACCGCCGGTTCCGCCGCGCGACGCGCGCGCCTTCGGCCCAAGCTTTGGAGACTCTCAGCACCCTCCGAAGACGTCGAACCGGTCGACGTGGAGACCAGGCCGGTGCTCGTTGGGCATGTACAGCAGGTGCTCACGTCCACCGGGCTCTTTCCGGTTTGGGGGGAAACCACGGACTGGTGGAAAAGCGTGAGTCTCCTTATTGGCGATGAAAAAATGTGCGACTCTGTTTCAAAAAGACCTGAAATAGTACGACCTTTTCTGAAGGATCAAAACTCAAACATATATGGAGAGCACATGATTTTGCAGCACCAGTCATGCAAGAGCCTACGGCCAGTTATCTGCATGTGACCTTGTTTCTGGCTCATAAGGAAAATTAGACCATGCGGGAAAACTGATTTAGACAACAAATGTTTGGGTTAGAGGAATCTCCCCTTTATTCATTCCGAATCGAAGCTAGAGCAAAGGCGAATAGAAGATCCGCAAGCCAAAACCTCAGATGTGAACATGACCCCCATTCAAGGGAAGGGTTGACACTCTTTTACACGAAATGTTCTAGACCGCCCCACCCCTTTTGATCCACCCAAAGTCCATCCTCGCCGTGTTCGCTGGCTCGTCTCCGAGCGCCCGCGCTCATTCTCTTGCTCCAGCTGCGTGCTTCTCTGGTCCTGAAAGCCGCCCGGCTGCTCCGGTCTCGGCGCGGAGACAACCGGCGCGGGGTTGTCCCCCGGTGCTTCAAACAGAAGACCGGTGCTTCCTCGTTGAAAAAGGATTCCTCATAAAATGGTGTGGTTCCTTTTTCCAATGAGGAATCCTGTTTCGTCTGAAGCATGGTGGGCTTTGAATGGTTTGCCATAAAATATCATACACTATCCATTTAAATTCTCTCCAACCGGCCTTCACGAGACATCGAGGCACTCGCACGGGTGAAAACGAGGACCTCGACACGACACGTGCCTCGACGAATTCGCAAATCTCATCGCCATCGTCACAGAGCGTCGGCCTCCGTGCCTCAGAGACCGTCAAAAGCCCGCGTTTGGAAAAGGTTTCGGGGCACAGTGGGGCGTCGCAAACGGACCTAGTGACAGAGCGACTAAATAGCTAATGATTAGTCCTGTGTCCTCTAGTATATGTATACATGCGATATTGATTTAGGAGAAACACTGCATGCAGCAGTCGAAAAGTGACAGAGCTGCGGCTTGTGAGGGCAACCGGCAACCCTACACGATTCCGGTAAACAGACTTGCGCAGTGCAATTCGGGAGTCAGATCTTGCAGTCACTGCCTTCCACACAAACAACCATTGACTTTGTACGACAGTCCCTTGGAACATCAGACACCATGACTGCAACACTTGCTCATGGGTGCCCTTCGGGACCTTCAAACATGCACCATGGACTACAGACCTCATCACCCTGCTCCAAAACCTGTTCGCTTTCTCCGGTGAACTCGCCAGGACGACCGAGGGGCGCAGGACGCCGGCTCGGGCGTCCGGTCCGACTGAAGCGAATCGCTCGGCGAAGCGCTCCGTCGGGGGGGAGCTGTCCGGGTCTTGTGCGGAAGAATATGAAAAGAACGTAATGAATAGCAAAAGGAACCTAATGAATAGCATTGAATAGCGATGGCCTCCAACCTAAACGCGATTGCCTCCAACCTAATAGGAATGGCCTCCATGAGCCCAACATGAGGATGGAGGATGATGGTTTGTCTTTTGTGTGGCTTCATTGGGGCAGCTCACCAACACACCTCGAAGCAAAGAAGCGGGAAGGTGTTCGGCGCTCGGCTGAGCAAACTGAACTATTCAAGTTTTCGGGTACAGCCTGATGGTCCTGAACTCAAGTGAACCCATAGGGTGATAAACATAGGATGATGAGTTTCTCTTGCTGGAAATCAAACCACTTGCATCCACTTGCGCACTTCTAGCATAGAAGTTCTGCTTCCCAACCTGTTCACTGTGTCATCACGGTTTTGTAATTTCCATAGTCCTTCTGCTTTCCACCCTGGACCCAGGACTGCCCGCTTCCGGCTGACGAGGGGGGGCAGGGAGAAAAGGGCATGGTCAGCCTTGCTTATCCTCCCTTCGATCCAGCCGTGTTTCTGTAGGCACTTGTTCAAGCTTCACCACATAAAAAGAGTTTCATGGATGACCAAAAGGATCCGGATAAGAAACTGGTGATTGGTGGACCGAACACAGCTGGTTTTTCCACTGCAGCAAAACAGCTGCGGCTGCAGCGTCAACCGCACAGGCGACCTCAGCCTTTGCTCGACCTCAGTGACCCTGAAAGCGAGTCTGCCATGCTGGTCGGAGCCAATAAATTCAGGACTTCAGTCTTTTGACCGAGGTCATCAAGCGATGGTGGGGGGCTAGTCCGAAGGCGTCTGACCAAGACAGTTGTAATCTGCCAGTGTGATGTTCTCAAAGGAACTTTGGTTACTTTGGACTTTGCTGGGGCCCACCCTGTGTCAGTTTGCGATCCTAGCCTCGCAAATCAACAAAAGTCACCCCCAACTAGCCTAGCACTTTGCCCCGTGGCCACCGTGGCCATCAAGAAGACTCAAGGTGAAGTTTTTTCGAGGTGAAGTGATGCACAAACCTTTGGAAAAAGAATGTCCTCCAGCAGTCAAATAGAAGCCTTCTAACCAGGCCACCGCACAGTCCTCTTTGGGACTCTAGAAGCTTCGCACTTCTCTGTGCGCAGCGGGATAGGATTGATTGGAGTGGTTCCAAGAAACGAGGGCGCTAACATCCTAGCGGACCCCGGCACCTGAGAGGAAACTTAGGCCCACTGCTTTGCCTGTGTGCACATGTGAGGAGAAGAGATTGGTTGGAGAAGATGGTGCACCTATAAGCACGAAGACTTTACCAAATCCATCTCCTCGACCTGCCCCTGTTTCTTGGAAAGAACGAATGGCTGAATAGCCTTTCAAAGACATGGCTACATGGCAATTATGGGTTGCATGTCATGTGCGTGATCTCAGGCTGACCTGGAAGACTTCCCAAGTTTTCCTGCAACACCAAACTTGGCAGCAACACCCCTCTCCTGATGCGCCAAACCCACTGCCAGCCACGCCTGCCAAAGCTTGACACACTCTTTCCCCCGCGGGCCAACAAAGTGCGTGCTGGTCGAAAAACTTGCCTGCTCCAATATTCGTGATCTCGGGCAGCAAAGGCAAAAACCCAACCCACGGACCGAACTCTTGCCCTGTGATGCCGCCTGGGTCAAGGCTCTGCAGTGTCTCTCGAACACCTCTGCTCTGCAGTGGTCCTCGGCTTGCATTGGTCCTCTGGGAACTTCTCGTTAAGTGCTCCTCCATCGCTGGTGAGGCCCGAAACGCCCGTGCGGAGTGAAATCCGCGCCCCTGACTTCCATGTGGCATGCGTATGCTCTGTCCAGCTCTGGCCGCAAAAGCGGCTCCACCTGTCTCGCCCAACTGATCGAGCCTGCCGAGTGGCCATGGGGTTCCGCGGCTCTCGGCACAATGATTCGTTGGCGCAGTCCCAAAGTTCCGCTTGAAGGCCACTCCAAGCTCGAACATCGTTGAGGGTATTCCAGGTTGTCAGTTTGGTGTCCGTAGGTCCGTAGGCAGCAAAGTCATATTCGCAACCTGGACCTAGAGTTTCAAAGCTCCAAAGGCGCCAGCCTAATCCAGACCGGTCCTCCAGCCTGGATTCCACTCACGATGGAGAAGGAAGTGGACCACTGCAACCAGCAAAGCCACGAGCTTCCAAGAAGCCACCCTATGGCAAAAGCACAAGCCAGGAAGCATTCTAGATACATCTTGTGTATATACTAAATATAGGTCGTCTTGCAGCCAAACTGATTTCGCAAAACACGAATGCGAGTCCGCACGGCATGAACCACCATAGAAACCTTTAGTGCTCTCTTTTCTCAAAGCTTGCATAGAAACGGTACATGGCTAAACAGGCGAGTGAAAGTGACCAGAATGCGGACAGTAACTACAGAGCTTTCAGGTAGATGACACAGCATCAAATGCTAAAGTTAACAAATGACTCCCAAAAATTACCCAACTACAAAATCTAGTCTGAACATGCTGTAGTCGGCGAGAGATTGGCCGTTTCCTTCATTGTATGAGAAGTGATTCTTTGCTGCTTGGGACCTGCCCTGCAACTTTCCTTTCTCACGTCACAATCTCAGAAGACGCTGCTGGGCATACAGCGCCTAAGAGTGGGCGAAAAGGACTGAGACGTGAGCAGAGGATGATGAATGCACCAACTGAGGGATCGAATGACCACTTTGACCCAGGAAAACGGAACATTGCCCAGAACCGGGCCGTCCCAAGAATCCCAAGAATCACCAAGAAAGTGACATGTTGCCGCAAGTAAAGCGACATGATGTCCCGGCCAGTTTCTCTTGAAAACGCAGGATTGCGTTGAAAGCCTTGAAACTCTTTTGCAAAAATCATCTACATAATTTGGATAGCAGCTTGAGTTGAATTCCTGATGTCTCTGGGCTGGGTTGGTCTCCTTGTTTTACAGTCTAGCCAAAGTCACCAGTGTATCAGGGATGCGAAACTTGTATGTATATATATATACACACCTCCTTCAATAGATTATTGATCATTGTTGCTGGGGCTTTTAGGAGGAGACGGACCAGACAAAGCTTGAACACGGAATTTCTTGAAAAAAATAAACAAGTGACCAAAGTCAACTCGATGAATACTTGCGCTCACCTGGCTCAGATCACAAAAAAGACGCCAACAACCCCCCCCCACGGTCGCTGCAACCAGGCGCTGGGGCAGCCATTCTGGGACTCTGCATAGCAGCCCTTGTTGTCTGGGCAAAAGTAACGTTGAGGACCTGGTAGCGCGGGGCAGCGTGGCTGTCCACATGTGAAAAACGTAGCAGCTGGCAGCCAACTGAAGTCCCTTGTCAAGGGCGCCATGTGGACCAAAGTTTCACCATCTGACAATGAGGAGTCTTACACAGTAGACTTGTGACATTCAGGTGAGATCAAAGGTGCCAAGAAACACTGAAGGATCACCACTTTCAGGGAAGACGGATCACGAAGGTCAAGCGATTTGGCTCTACGGCCTGTCATCGGTCCAAGCATCCACCAGTCACCGGTCCAGGAGGTCACCCACCCCAAAATTGACCTTATGTAGACTCTTGATTTGTCAACCCACCCCTGTTGATATCATGTTGATTGTAGAGCCTCTTAACATTAGGGGTCGAAATATCATCAAGTGTCACTACATCCACCTCCGTCCCATCTGCCGAAACGCAATCGCTGCAACAGGGTGACTTCCTTGGCATGGTCGCGGGCATCGCTGGCATCGGAAGTGGAGATGCCAAAGGAAACCACCGAAGTGGCACGTGCCGACGAGCGTTGTTCGACCTTTTTTTCTTCTCAGGGATTTGTTCTTGGTGACATGAGTGGGCGAATGTCACACTTCCCTCAGGTCATCAGACTACAGCGAGTCTTTGACTCGCCTGGTGAAGACTAAGCCGACACCACCCCTTCCAGTGCGACATGACGAGTTGTTCCATTCTTCCGCCATCCAATGTTCCGTTCCCCAAAAACCTTCTGCTCTCTTTCACCGAGACGTCTGCACCCACCCTCCACCCCTCCGCCCGTGCCGCCCAGCTGCTTTGGACAGTACTTGGAGTCCTGGCCGCACAGACGGCCGGGGTTTCGGGCGAACAACGAGGTCCAGGTGTTTTTTTTTCGAATGTCCAGGTGTTTCAAAGAGCCAAGCCTTTGGGGTTGATGGTCAAGTCGGTTCGGTCAGTTCTGCAATTCTAAGACTTCTTTGTTGACTGGATCTCTCTGGTAAAATCCATGAATTCTGCCGTGGCAGAACCAATGAAGCGCGTTTCCGGACTGGACTTTCACGGGGATGTTTATCCGTGTGAATTGGTCAAAGTTAGAAGGACCAGCTTTGACGGTTTGCGATTGATCGCAAACCTGTCAAGCTAACCCTCGGAGTACGCCAAACACCCTTGTTTGAGACAACTAGTCTGCAAAGTCTTATCCACTGAGTCAAGACTAG